CAAAGCGCAGCCAAGGGTGTAGAGGCTTGAAGTAATTGGGCGGACGAATGCTACACCCACACGTGGTTTTGGCCCGGGATATAGAATGCTGTCCAAAGTACAATAGCGGAGATTTGGGTTTAAAGGGGCCGGCAAGAAAAAACTATGGATTTCTTCGTTTTCCTTTTTTTAAGTTTAGAAGGGTGAGGATGGGGGGATTTTGCCGCGCCCGCGTCGATTCTCTTCCAAAAAAGTGTCGTAATCGATTACGCGAGTACAAGGTGTACCGCGCGGTGCGTGTTGCCGTGCAGAAAAGAGAAAGGGAGAGGGAGGAACAGAGCGAGAAAGAGCGAGAGCGAGAAAGAGAGAGAGCAAGAGAGAGAGGGAGAGAGACAGAGAAAGGGGACCCCCGCGAAAAATGGCCATTGTTTTTCACGCATTTTCCCGCGCCGTAAGTCGTCGAGGTGGGAGGCCCTCTTCCGAAATCCTGAACGGAAATAATGACAGGCATTTCATGGCCTGAATGCATGGCTGGGCAGAGTATTCTGTGGTTTTATTCAGCTTCCAAACTACGAAGGTATGGCCTTTGAAAGATGGAAAAATTTTCGCTTCAAAATTGCCGCATGAAAGCACAAATTGCCTCAATTTGAGGGGGCAACTTGAAGTGTTGCGTTCTGAGAAGTGAAGGCGTCAGGGCTAATTTTTCGTACCTTTTGTAGCTAGCATTTTGGAACGCTTATTGTCAGAACTTCAAGTCCCGAAAAGCTACGTTTTTTACACAATTCCACCGGAAACGTGCACCTGGGACTACCGTACCCCTCAATTCAGCTACCCCACATACGCATTTCCACGAATCTTTCCACATTCCGCCTCCATTTATAGGCGCACCCTTGGATTCGGAAATGAAGCGGGGATGCCTGTTTGGGGTTTTTCGCGGAAGGGCGTACTTCCGCTTCAGGGCGGCCGAAACGGGAACTATAGCAGATGGGGTACGGTAGCTGTCTCTATCAGTTATTCCGGGCAAAAGCTACTGCCCTGAAATATAAAAGTAATATATGGCGGAAAAATAAAGGGAATTTACGCGAAAAGCAGGCTTCATCCAAACGTAGCGTGAGCTGAAGCCTAAAATAGGTTCAGGTAAGACTAACAAAAACCGGTAAGTAAGTTAAGTAAGAAAGTAACTAAGTTATGCCTAAGCCTAAATTAACCTAAGTTTAATCTAGGTTAGATCTAACCTAACTAAACTCAGCTTGAACCCAAGCCGTGCCTAAACAAAGCTCAGGCCTAGGCGAAGCCAAAGCCGAGCTAGGCCTAAACCAAGCTCAAGTCAAGCTTGAACTAAGCCGAAGTTAAGTTTAGGCCCAAGCCCAAGCTAAGCCTGAGCTAAGCCCAAGCTTATGCCCATGGAAACCTAAGCCGAAGCCTAAGTCACTCTTGGCATTTTTCCAAAAACTTGATACGAAGTTAAAAGGCTAAAACACTTACACCGGGACGTTAAAACTCGCCCTGTCTGGCCACTTACCGTAACCCCAACCCGCCTCTTTGAAACTTGACGATTATGACGTTCAGCACCAAAAATATGTTCCGCCCACCCGCGGCGCTGCTCGGATTATTTTGCTGGATTGTGCGGGTCGAGGTGCAGGAAACGTGCATCCGGAGCGATATCGGGCTGACCCGAAACCGTCGCCCCAAGGGCTTAACCTTCCAAAGACACGTGTCCGTTCTTCATCATCTGGAACCGAGGATTCTTTTGCATTTTTCGGGTCGTTGGGAGCGAAGTAAACATAAACCTGACGCCTTGACCCGGCTTAAGTTGAGCAAAAAAAAAGCCCAAAAAATAGATGCAAAGTAAATTTAACACGAATTACGTATGAAGCTAAACTTAATGTGATGCCGTTTAGCACTGCATTCCTACAGAAAAATGCAACAAAAATCGAACACTTTCGCTGACTAGATATCGAGAGCTAAATCATACCAAAAAATCCCGAGTTTGTCAATTCAATCTAAAAATTTTTCAGCTTTATTAAACTGGGCTCTAACTTTCAGAAATACAAATAAATCTCTAAAGCGATTAGAATGCCATTGAGAGCTTCATCCATTCAAGCTCGATATCTGAAGCGGAAACCCATTTCCAAAAAATCTTTTTGCGTTTGCGGTGAAGCATCCTACTCACCTACTCACCATCCGGAAAAGCACTCCCGGTATCTCCATGTTGTCCTGAACGAAGTTGGTGACCAAAAAGCGGGCTTCCTGTTGCGGTGCCAGGGGTTCGTCCTCCGAAACGTCCTGAAAAAATTAGACAATTTATACGGTTGATCGGCAGGGGAAAAGCCCTGTCGAAGCTATATGGCAACACCGGAAGTCGTGGAATTGAAACCGGGCAGGCAGAAACCCCGGGCCCTCGTCTCGCATCATCGCTCAACCGGAATTCGGCGATTCATATGAGGGGAGGGGTTCAAAAAACGTTCAATCGTTGCCTTGAGGCGGCTGAGGGGTCGGCGAAAAAGGGCGTAAAGTATCGGAAACTGATATTTTTCGATAAGGAAATACGTAAAATTTTAGCTGCCAGCCCCCAGTTTTCCCGTTCTAAAGAATCAGTTAAGCCTTGATGGTTATTACTTACAGGGCCTGTTCGTAACTTGCCAGTTTATTTAATCGGTAGCTATGGATAATTCTGTGACTACAAAATTGTGCCGCATTTCGAAGCTTTACGACCAAGATATACACTTAAAGAAAATAACAAGAAACTTGACTAAAATAGGGTAAACAACGTGCTTGGAGCGCAAAAAATGCGAGGCGAAAAATCGAGGGTTTCAGGTAAAGACTATGGGCTGAATTTCCAAAAATTAACACGGCTTTAAGCAGTTAAATTACATGAAGATTCTTGAAATTTGGAAAATTCGTGGGTTATCAGAGAGTTCGACTTGGAATTCCGAAATTGTTAGGGAACTGGATCACGCCTTAAAGGGCACGTTCAGGGACGTTTTTTTGAAAAAAAGCAAAGGCTTTTGCCGCGGCCGGGGGTCGAACCCGGGCCCCCCCACTCGGGAGGCGCGGATGGATACCAGTCAGCCACAGCTACAACCTGGCGAGGGGCGAGGGCGCCCTACGCCGCAAAGGAGGGGAATGGCCTGTCACAGCACGGGCAGGGAGTGCGCGCGGTCCCTACGTCCATAGGGTGTACACGTTGGGACCAGTACACGGCCCCTCCCTGAACGTGCGTTTTAACCCGTAAATAGTCAAGCCCGCCGGCTTTCAGAATTTGGCGGGGCGCTTTAGGATCAAACGGCCAAAGATCAGCACGTAGCGCACGGTTTGATGGACGGCATTGATTAAATGCGTGCCGTTCACGAGCGCGCTAATGTATTCACGGTGAATCACAACAATCGGCCTAGGGAGAGGGGGCAAAGCGATGGATGCCCCCGGGGCTTCGAGTCAATCGGCTGCTCTCCCCCCCTTTTTTTCTTTGTTTCCTGGATTTTTCCAGAATTTTTAACACTTTAATGATATTTTTGATAAAAATAACGTTTTTGAAAGTACCATTTAAAGACTACTACCTTCCACGCAGCTTCTAAAAAGGTTTTACTTGTAGAAAAGGTCTAAAAAGCAAAAGAGCTTAGAATATGTGAATTTGCTATTAAAGCAACCTAATAAAGTATTTTTATGCTACCGTATTTAATAAATGCTACAATGATTTAATAAAGATGTCATTTTAAAGGCACGCTGAATGTCTCTAAATATTACTTTTGCTACGATTTGACACATTTTACTTTGGAATTTTAATATTAAAATCGTAGCGTACATATTATTCGTACGCTGAAACAAAAACTATACTGAGTGGTATGAATATACATGGAATTAGATATCATCACAATAACTATAAAAATCAGAGATTTTCTGCAGCTATCAATGCCGACATCCAAACCCTAAAAATAAACATACCAGGGGAAAATCAAGGTTTTCGCACCCGACGCCATCCATCTTTTCATCTTTGAAAGATCAGCGGGGGATATCCACAATATCTCTCACGCAGTCAGACATTCCCAGATCACCCGTTCAATCCCCCAGCTAAAAAAGCTCATAATTTACGACCGGTAAGCCAGTAATCCTTGCCATTTCTACAAAAAAAAAAACCAAAAAATGCCGGCATCACCCCGGTGCGACCCAAAAACGGTACGTCACACTCCGCGGGGGAGAACGATCTGTGGACCACCCTTATTTCCATAACCCGGTCCGTAACCCGGGGTGTCTCTATTTACCTAGTAGTCTTTGAAATTTCAGGCACAAGGCCTGTGCCCGGGAAGGCCCTTAAAAGGCTTCTTATTGTGGCTATTGGCAAACACTGCAGATCGAGAAGGACAAAAATGACCGTCTCCTACAATTTGATCGTGTCGAATGTGGGGCTGTTGACATGGCTGAAGCTATTCTTTCGGTGGAGGGGATCGATTTGGAAATCGGTGAGTTGGCGATTGGAAAACGATAACTAGGTTCGGTGTAATTTGTCAACCCGATACCTAATCGAGTAGTGAAAATCCAGGGCCAAAAAGTATCCTTTTTATTAGCTAAGCTTGCTTTTAATAATCGCAGTTAATTTCTATTGTGTTTTACTTTTTTTTTGTTTGTTAAGGTATGGTTTGCTAGTTTTTGGAACTGTTTTTCAGCATATAACAGCCCTATTAACGCAATTTTGGATACGTTTAACTACTCCTTACGCTCTTTTTTAATGAGTCCACGGTTACTGCGCGGCTAGAAGTACACTTTTTACTACTTACGTCGTTATCTGGGAATTCGAGAGACCGTTAATGCGCACTACCCAATCCTCGGGATGATTAAATGTCATTAATGCGCGCTTGGATTTATTTTATAATATGAATTAAAATAATGTAAGATAAATAAAAATAGCTTAATAATAAAACTAAAAATAATTAAATAGCTTAATAAGCGATACACATTCATCTTATCCCCTTTAGGTATGGGCAGAACTGGCAATGTGGTTCGCGCTGTATTATGCTATTTTATTAATGTACCACCTTGGATTGAGTGGTGGTCAGCAGAAGTAGGTGTTATTTAATTTTTGAATCTCGAAGAAGAAGATGAAAATCGATACTATTGGTTTATTTAGGCACTTTGACCAATTCGCCACCTACATCAACACCAACGTTGAGCGGTTGCCGATCATATTTATGCTCGGCTTCTTCGTTACGTTGGTGGTGAACAGGTGGCAGAAGATTTACGAGAGCTTGGGATGGATTGAGGAGTGGGTTTCCTAGATATCTTCAGGGATACATCTGGCATCTGCTTAGACTTGGTTTAGGCTTAACTTAAGCATTCAGCTCATTAATAGGTAATTTTAGTACGGCGCTTTTGATGTCCTGTCTAATCCATGGTGATGATGAGGAGACGATTCTGGCGCGACGTGCCATTGTGAGATACGTTTGCGTAGGGCAGGTAAGTAATTTATCAAGAGTTTTTAAGCAAGTATGTGACTATTATATTATTCTTTGTTAAACTATGTTTATTAGAGCATTTTACTACATTTTAGTTTTAGTTAATGGTATTCCGTGACATATCACTGCGAGTGCGCAGAAGGTTTCCGAGCCTAGAGTCACTGGTAGAGGCTGGTAAGTTAATTTTAGGAATTTATGAACACTTTTTCCAGGTTACTTGGAGAAAAGCGAGCTCCGCGAGATCGAACAGGTCCCGATGAAATACAACAAATATTGGTTGCCCTTCAATTGGGCGCTTTGTATCATTTATGAACAGCGGCTTCGCGAGAAAATTCCTGGGGATCCGAGTTTGCAGAGTTGTGTTCAGGTCTGTCACTCTCTCTCTCACTCTCTTTCACTCGCTCTCTCTCTCTCTCTCTCTCTCTCTCTCTCTCTCTCTCTTCTCTCTCTCTCTCTCTCTCTCTCTCTCTCTCTGTTTGTCTCACTCCCTCTCTCACGCTTTCTCTCTATCTCTCTCTTTCTCTCTCTCGCTCAGACGAGAAATTTCAGGAGGTCAAACGCTTCCGTGACTTCATGCAGACGTTGAGCAACTACGACTGGGTCCCCGTTCCTCTAGCTTATCCACAGGTGCAAGTTGTTTTCGGTTAAATACCTTTTAAATTTTTAGGTCGTCTTTTTTGCTGTACGGGTCTATTTTTACCTTTGTCTAATCGGGCGTCAGTTTATTATTTCCACGCAGTCAAACCAGGTATCCAGTTTTCGATTATTAAAGTTTTTTTTTAGTTCCTAAACATCTATTTCCCGCTCACCACGAGTTTGCAATTTGTTTTTTATATCGGGTGGATGAAGGTATAAATTTTGGGTCGGCTATAAACGGTTTTTGACGATTTTCGCGCTGTATTTTGGCTGTTAAACCATGTCATGGCAGTAAAAACGATATATTTTTGCTTGTTCACTTTGGGAAACCATCGATCAGGAAGTGGCTATTTTCAGGTAGCTGAATCCCTCCTAAACCCGCTGGGCGAAGATGACGACGATTTTGAAACAAACTACCTTCTTGACAAAAATATTAGTGTAATTTTTTCGATCTAGAAGTGAACTTAACTTAATTTTAGACGGCAATGGCCATCGTCGATTCAACCTCGCAAAAGCATCCCCCCTTGATCAGGGATCGATTTTATGTGAGTTTTCCCGCAAATACAAACGAACTTTTACCAAACACGGCTTGATCGCATCGTTTAGCACCACAAATATCTACCCGGGCTAAAGGATGATGAGGAGGATATTGTTGGATCTGTTGCGCATTTGAAGTGAGAATTTTTGCTGGCTATTTTTATGAAAAGCTGGCCGCCAACAAAATTTAAAAGGTCGCTTCCCGTTAGCATGTTAATCCATTGATGAAAAGGTGGCCGATCATCTGTTCGAAAATCACCTGTTCGAAAATCATCTGTTCGAAAATCATCTGCTCGAAAATCAGCTGTTCGAAAATCACGTATTCGAAAATCATCTGTTCGAAAAGACACCTGCTCGAAAAAATTGCATCTGGAATTGCCTAGAAATGGTAGCAAAAATGACCATTTTCGAACAGATGACTTTTCGAACAGATCATTTTCGAACAGGTGTTTTTCGAACAGATGATTTTCGAACAGGTGATAGGGAATCCCGCAACGCGACCACGCCGCCTGATCTCTTGCCCCCGTTTGGACGTGAAAACGCTTGATTTGAAAAATTCTGAAGCTATTTCTGTAAACCTCACGAAATTTATATCATTCCAGGTTTTTTAATTCTGAAAATCGATCAAAAACTCGCCATGCTCGAGAGACTGGGTGCCTTACAAAGAATTACGACATGTAATCGCCGCCCACTCAAAATTCCGTTTTCGCCCCAAGAACCTATCGGTTTTACTCAAATATTTTTTACGTTTTCTCGCAATGAAATAATTTTTCTGGTACTTCTCGGCAGTTTTTGACCAGTAGTTTCAGTCCCCGTGATCACTTCCGGGCCCTTTAAAGGCTTGGAGAAGGCATCTCATTATTTTCAAAATTTAAGGATGCCAAATGACGAGCCCCGTCTATCCATCAGCTCCATCCGGCAGTCAATTCGCAGCCTCAGAAAGAGAATTCAACCGGAAGCCGTCGACGACTCGGGTAAATATCCTCTTCTGGGAAAACACAATTTTCCCTTTTCCTTTTAGAGATCTCACACAAAATCTGACCGAGCAGGAAGGAAGGAAGGCGACGCCCATTCACCCCATCGGCATCCTCGCATTTTCATAAATAAACTTTTTATTTTACTTAATTCCAATTTTTTGCGCTATAATGAGGGAATCAAAAACTGAAAATTTCGAATTTGGGAATTCCCAGTGGATGCCTTCAGGGGTGGGCGGGAATTTGGAACCCAAAAACTTGGTGAGTAAGCCAAGAGTTTTTAGCGGTGTTTCTCAGTATTAAGTGCTGCAAAATAGGAAAGCGTTGAATGGAAATTTTGTAATCGAATTAACCGAACGGCTTGAAGACGCTGGAGGTCTTTAGGGATCGGTGACTCGGTGGGTACCGTAGAAACGGCTGTAGATGCTCAAAAAGCCTTCAAAAAAATTTCTGTACATCGTTTGTTTTCTCTAAATTTAAAAAATACTCGAAATCTAAGTAGGTATTCGCCTGAAAACATTGTGAATTATCGAATAATACACATTAAAAAACGTACTTAAATTATAACGTAAAGCCCAAAATTGACCCACCTGGAATCGGCCAGCTTTTGACGACTACGCGGCGTGCCAAAAACGCAAGAAACCTTTTTAAAGCCCTCGGAAACCCTTGTTTTTGGTGTAATGCGCAGCTGCCAAGACCTCGGCAATAGAATGGGTAAATTTTGCGCTTTATGACCCCTTTGATACTCAATTAAATGCTTCGTTCTGGTCCTGGTCACAGCAAACATCACTTTGGTGTGCCATTTCATGAAATGGTTAGTTTTCGATACCGTAATCATGATTTTCTCCGCGATTCCAAGACATTTTTGTGGAGCCTATGGCGCATATTCTAGCAGGATCTGCAACCTAATCACCTTCTGATCACAAAATTTTTCAAAAAGCCGCCCTTACGCCCTTTCGATTCAGCCGGCCATCATCAGCAGATGACAAACAGTCACAAGGTCCCCATATGCCATTTGATTTCTTCCTCAAAAATCTGCTGCTGGCAGGTGAGTTTTGTATAAAAACACCTTGCGGGCGTGTGGTCACGGAATTCCTCCACCCTCCCCTTTTTCCTAATGATTTTCGGGGGCCTGAAAATTAGTCCGCATTTCCGGCGCTTCCGGTGCGTCAATGAAGCCGAGCCGGGGGGAGGATCCATAGGTTTTTCGTTCTTTGTTGAGTTTCCTGGAGGTTTGGTTACTGTAGCCAGATCCATAGGTACTTTCCGTACCTTGGCAACCTGAAGGCTGGGTTTTTAACTCGTTTGTTACAAAGCATAGAAAATCCGAGTTTCGTAAAGTGTCCAATTTTTCCGTGAATTTTGATTAATGGAGGCTCCTCTCTAGCTACTTTCCGTGGTGCTTTGCGTTCGAAACCGGCCTCTCAATTTGCCCCTAATTTTCTTAGACAATTTTCCAGTATATTAAAAATATTGTGGGTCGTATTTTGGTTTTAACTTCTGGTAACAGTAGTTCGATTTTGAACTTAAGCTTGGACATCAGCTTTGTAGCTTTATTTTCGCAAAAAAAGGTAGTAGAAGTTTGAGGGATACCTGAATCAACGTGACTACGTGCGTAGGTGCTTTGCGTACTGTAGCAAATCGGGGCTGGCGTTGTCTCTTCTTCATATCAACTCGAGCTGATTTCGGCTGGAAGGCATACTGTAAGCTTCAAAGATGCGTAAAATTGCACTTGTTAAGGGTTATAAAAATTCGAGCTTGATGGACTTGGAGTAGGCGTGTTTTGCGTATCATAGCGTATCGTAGCGTACCGTAACACCCAAAAGCTGGCCTTGGCTTCCCTTTCTTATATTTATGTCAAAAATTCTAGAAAAATTCGCGTCAATTTTTATATATACTGGTGCAGTAGCGGCGTAAATACCTGTATTTCGTAATAAAGTGCCGAGCAAAAATCACATAAATTTTAAATTTATACAAAAAGCTACAAAATCATCCTCAAGTCATACTTTTTCGTTGTGACTTGTGGTCAGCCCGGAACAACGTGCAACCCTTGTTTCGCCCCACTTGAAAAGGCGACAATAGCCCCCGCTGAGTCGAAGCGTATTTTCAACAATCCCATGTCTACCTCTCGCTCGGGTGCCTGGATGATGGCGGTTGTGGGTGGGGGGAGGCCCGGTAATTATCCCCCAATTTTTCGGTTTTCATGGCCACACATTTCGGCTGGGCCGAACACAACCGGCGGACCCTGGGAAAATCGACACGCCCATCTAACACCCATACCCCTCACCTCTCCCGCCGGCAAAATTGCTCGTGTTCTGATTTCCGGTGGGCGACCGGATTCCGGAATCCGGGATTTTAGAGGGCGCGCGATTTCGGGGTGGGATTGGACACAAAAAATGTGCCCAACTTTCAGGTCCCTTTCTATCTTTTCTGGATTTTTATCAATGGTGGTATCCTATCCCCGCACTCTAATTTCCGGTTATCGGAATTTTTAAAACCGAGATCAAACTCGCTGTTGCCTTGCGTCTTGCGCTTACCTAACTGTTAAAGGAGCCGGCAAGGCATTTTTTTGGCTGTTTTTTGATGCCAGAAATTTTTTGGCCTTTTCCTTGCTGCCCTAAAGGCACGTGCTAGGCATTTCAATAGATTTTGCGCCTATGGATTTCGTTAAAATTTGACACGCGCGCAACGTATGCTACGCGCAACAATTGCCAATAGAAAAACGACGCCAAATCCACCTGAATTTCATACAAGCTGCCTACTCCGCCTCCCTCCGTCATTTGGCGCGCAGCGTGGCTGCCCGGACCTAACGGGTGGCAGGGGTCGATTTTCGCCATCCGAATTGCTTGAAAAGAAAGGGAAGCGATAAAGGAATCTGAAAAACAGATACTTTTCTGTGTAAATTTTTCTTAAAATTTCGCTTCGCCCTCCACCTTTCATTAATGCACAATTTCTGTACGTTTTTCCACTCAGACAACGTGCCAAACACGATTCAAAATTTTCTAGAGCTCGTTGACCAGTCTGTGAGACTATAATGCATTTTTTAGTTGTTTTTCGCTGTGACACAACTTCCCCGGGGGCTTTCGGTTCGATTTATTGCTCACAAATATTAATGAACGCCGCTGATTCGAATCCACCCTCTTCCGCGTGACAACCCTTTAATTCAGGGGCGCCCAAGCGTATCATTTTCCCCCTTTTCTAAACTTTCTTCGAGAGCCCTGGCATTTTTGATACCATGCCATTTGGCTGTAAAATGTTATTTAATGGCTTAACACGTCCTCTTTTTAACGCTTCATTGATAAAAGTTTTACAATTTATATTATTTTTAATGTTTAGATTGATGGCCGACGTGTTTCAATGGCTTGAATACGTTCCGTACGTCCTGCTCCTTCCCACCCTGCTCACGTCCAGTCTGTTTTTGATGCTGATCACGACATCATCACCGAAATTTATCAAGGTCTTCTATCAAGAACAGATTAAAAAAAGATGAATTTTTAGCTTTTAGATCAACTTTGAAGGCTAGTCTAACTGTAAAGTGTTTTACTCAACTTGGAGTTTCGATTCGGGACCAAGCGCATCTTGTGCAGAATTTTTCGCTGATTCCGAATATCTTTTCGAAATTTGCTACGGACTTTTATTTAAAAAATCATTTTTGGTAACAATTAGGCCGAAAAATGCAAAAAATTCAGACGCTGGCCCACTATTCCTTGTTTGGGGCTATGGTTCCTAGGGGCCCTGAAGTACCCTCTGACAGCACCCTACCCAGTTGGCACCATGGTGCATTGGCAAAGTACTCGCTTGCCAAGCGCAGGGCGGCGTTTCGAACCCGCGCCCTGCATCACTGCTTTTGCTTTTTGCACAAAAATCTCATTTTTTATCTAAAATGCTTGTTTTGAGCTGTAGGATGCTTGTCGAGCCAACGCCTAGTCAATCTTGACGTTGAAATTAATGAAGAAAATCGAAAACTATAACGATACCTTCATTTTGGTGAAAACCAGGGTCATAATTGCCGTATAACTTTCAGAATAACGGTCCGTAGCAAATTTGGAAAACATATTCGGAATCAGCGAAAAATTCTGTACAAGATCCACTTGGTCCCGAATCGAAATTCCAAGTTGAGTAAAAACACTTTACAGTAAGATCGAGCTTGTCCTAGAAAAGCATTTGGAAGCGAATAAAAGCGCGTAGGATTAGAAAAATTGATTTAGATCTAAAATACGGTATAGATTTTGCCCTCAATGTCTCCTTAGACGTTAAACAAGATTAAAATCAAGTCAAAAATTGTAATTTTTAGGTCTATTCAACGGTACTAACGCTGTACACCCTCCTCAACCTACTCCTCGCCGTCATCGTCGCCATTTCACAGCCCAGGTGAAAGTTTTTGCTTTTCGCCCTTTCTCACTCTCGCTCTCTCTCCACTCTTTCTCTCTCTTTTTCGCTCTCCATTCACCCCAAAAAGACAATTCCATATGTAAGGCTAAATGAAATCAGCTGCCCCCACCCCACCTTGGGATTTGGCTTAAAATGGCGGCTTCTTGTCTGGCTTGTAGAATGCGGAAAATTTGAAAAATAGCCAAACTAACTAAAAGAAAAGAGCTAATGAAAGGCAATTTTTTAGTAGCTTTGATAAAAATTCAGTTCTAAGCCTTATAATATAATTTAAGTCCCTCAAAAACGCGGAAGCACTTGAACAAAACTAACAAATCAAAAAATATGCAAAAATTTCGCTAATTAAACTATTTCCAGGTTATGGACCCTCCGCACCGAGCACGCCTTCTCATCCCAACTCCCGATTCTGCGCGGTGGCAGCTTCGCCATGCCAGTTCATCTACTCCACTACTCTTCCCTAATCCTCCTCTACATCATCCTGATTCGTTTCCTTGCCCTAAAAGGTCTTCACTTCACCAATCGGATAGCCGGCGTTACGGTGCTCGGCCTGTACTTCACGGTACCGCTGGGGTTGCTGGTTAGTTTTAAGAGGTTTCATTTTAAAAAAGGCCAAAAACGATGGTACATTTTCTGTTTCCTCGTCTTCTCTTCTCACTAGCTATCGGCCCCAAAAAT